CAGGATCACTAATTTATAAAGGCACTTATGATTCCATTTTGGACAAAATTAATCTAGGGTAATTGTGACACCTAAATGTGCTGAATTTACATCCCCAATGTTCCCTTTACAGTATTTTTAGCATCCAGAGGCACCTGATATTATGTGTCCTTCTCTTCCTATGCATTAAAATCAATATCTATATCTATTCATGTATTTATCATCTGTATATACATCTGTCTATGAATAAATCCATACACTTCACCATACACAATAATCACTTCACTTTGCTAATCATACAAATTGTTATCAATGTGATTTATGCTCATCATAAATGTGATACAGTGGCTCACATAGGAGGGCTCTGATAGGGGTTTCCTTTCTGGATTGTTCTGTCACCATTGTCTTGCAGGAGGCACAAAGTTACTAAAGATGGTTCTTAATCATCTGTGTTGAAACCCTTTCTGCAGAGAACAGCCTTATTCTATTAGTGTCTGGACACTCTCTTCCTCCTGTGCCTGTCAACCCTCAAGGAGGTCACAGGTGGTCCTGACTCAGACACAACTCAACTTTGCCTCCCATAAAAATCCTTCCTACTCACTTAGGGCTGTGCAAATGCTGAGGACCACATGAGTTGAATGAATTGTTTAAGTTACAATCATTTTTATTTTATATTTCCTAGGTTCAAGAGGCAGTTTAAAATGTTTTGAATATTTCAATATCATAATCAGTTTTCAGAACTTGTACTAGCTTAAGTAATAGCAGACATTTCTCAATTATGATTATAATCATTTCAGTTAAAAGTAGCATCATTTTAATGAGATCTTTACTAAACTTGAATGCTGGGTGCACTACTAAAATACATAGTAGCATCAGTATAGGTCAGAATCCCTTTCTATTGATTTTCCATAGATTTACTCAAATAAGGGATCTTACAAGAGATTTAAAATTCATATACTTGGAGAGAGATGACAATATAAAACTAATCAGGTAGAGAGGTAAGAGAAGTAAGTAGAGACAGCATCAGGAACCAAATCTTGCATTTCCCAAACAGACCTGAGGATCACAGGGAAAGATATAGACTCTAATAACTGAAAGCAGAAGTGCATTATGGGAGCTCCAAAAAGCCCGGATTTGTATTGTTAATATTCCTAACAGATAGCACAGTTAATGAAAATAGATGAGACTATAATTAACTGCACTAAGAATCTTTGAAACTTTCCTAAATTTAATGACTATATGGACTCCTTTTTTGGTGAATGGGAATGAGTACCAATTATATCAAAACTAGGTATTGCATATGTCAAGATTTGAATTCTATATTAATTCAGGAGAAGCATGTCCCTTCTCTGTTTCTGAGACTGAAGAGGAGGAAAGAGATTTGAGATGCAGAACAGACTCACTGACACTTTCCTTCAAAAACCTCCCAGAAACTTTACAAAATTGGCTTCACCTGGAAATGCTGGTGTTGCATAAATCAACCAGAGCAGCTGGGCCACAGAGCCTTGAACTTGAGTTTCCGTCAGGCTCCAGCCTGCTGATGCTGAGCGTGAAATCTGTACCAGATCTACTGCCACTGAATCTTGATGGGATCCCAGTTTCCAGATTGGATGCACCATAGATCAAGAGTTTAGGAGCTTCCCCTGGTTTCTGCTGATACCAGGCTAACAAAGTACCAATGTTCTCACTGGCCTTGCAAGTGATGGTAACTTTGTCTCCCAGAGATGCAGACAGCAAGGATGGAGACTGAGTCATTAGGGTGTCACATCTCACACCTGATAGGAGAAATATACAATGAATATACACTGAATAATACTGAACAGGATGACTCTTAAACCTTCATATAACTCTGGCCACACTGGGCAACAAAAGTCCCCACTGCTTCCCTTCCCTACCTGAGAACCAGAGCAGCAGAAGCCCCAGGACCTGAGCGTTGTCCCTCATGTCCATGCTGTGTCCTGACAGGAACTAATCCTCAGTGTGTACACAGACTATTAAAAGTCCTTGGGGCAGTTGGGTGTGTCCATGTCACATGCAAATTAGCAGGAAATGAGTGCTTGACACAGCTGTGGGATTTGGTTAATCTCATCTCTTAGATTCAACACAGGACAAGTGTTCCCCAGGTGTCCAAGACAGACAAAAGTAGTAGCACAGGTTTGTCCGCAGAGAACATATTCTTCTCTGTGGGAGAAAGCACAACTTCAGTATCTGACCCTATGAGGAATCAGGTATTTTTACTATCTCAGAAATCAGAGAAAACCTTATTCCCTTCTTTTGTTTGTGCATGTGGCTATGACTAACAAATAGTAAATTCCTGTTTGCTCTGGTACCATTCTACTTTTTGGGTGAATTTAAAAATTTATAAAGAAAAGAAGAAGAATTATGATTTTTTATGTAAGGAGTAGGCCTGCTAACTCAGGCCAATTCAGATTTTGTTCGTGCATATATCAATGCTTTTCCAAATAAACACCACATAAATTGACCAGCCATCTCAGTTCTCATCAGAAGAATATGAAGTCCTTTCCTGTCTCTGCATGCAATTGTACACGTCCATTCCTGGTGTTCTTTAGAAGTCTAAGATTCCTGTTCCTTTACTCTCGCCTGATTTAACATGAGCCACCCTCTTCAGAAATAGAGGTTATGTCTGACAAGAATCAATTTAACTCTTTAATTAATTTTTATTGAATTTTTCAAATTCATATATTTTGTTTATGTTTAGGTCACCTCCCATATGGAAGCCCACATGTGCTTGCAGCAGCCAAAATTGGGCCGGTAAGGTGTTCCCCAATGAGTGTCATGATATTGATTGTTCAGAGTGGATGTCCAGGGACGATGGCATTTGAACAAGGTTCCCTGTGAGAAAATCCCCTGAAATGAGCATCCCAAGGACCAGCTGTCAACAGAGCATGGGAGAAGTGTGGGCTGGAGAGACCAGCTCCTTCCTCAGAGCTGCAAAAACACTCAGGCATTTGGTGCTTCATTTCAGGCAGCAGCTCTAATTATCCAATCTGTATCTCACATGCTAACAGTCCATTTTCTCCATCTCCATTTCCTCTCTCACCTTGCTTATTCCCTCACAGGTTTTTTTTTACATGTCTTGAATATGCTGATTGCAGTTGCAGCCTTGTGTCGAGGGTACTCAGTCTAAAATAATATATAAATATCTATTCTTATGAGATATCTCTGAATTCTAACTAATTCTTATATAATGATGTATACAATTAGAATGAGTGGATAGATATGCCATGAATGGAACTTGAAGTGTATCACATAATCCCACACAATGTTTTAAAATCCATGAAGCATTATTTTTTAAGAACAGAATCGTTCATACAGACCCAACACCACATAAGCCAGGCATGGTGGCACATGCTTAAAATCTTGGCACTTAGAATGTTGATAGAGGAACATCACGATTTCTAGGCTATCCTTACAAACTAGCATGAACCAAATGAGACCCAGTGTTAAGAACAAATAAGACTAAAAAGTAGGTGAGTAAGGGAAGAGAAAAAAGGAAGAAAAATGAAGAAAATGAAAAAAAGTTTATTTCTCTTAACCAGTTGTTCTTAGGTAAGTGAAATTATTTAAGTAGTAATTCCATTTCCTAGGTCACAAAATCAATATGTCCCTAGATAAGAGCTCTGTGTCATGAAGTGAATGATAAATTCATAGGAAAATATCCATGTGGACTTAAATTGCACAGATTAAAAAACCACGAATCATAAATTTCTTCCACCTGTCTGTTTCATATATCTGCCTCATGAATTTTTATTCTGCACTAGAGGAAGGGTTAAGTCACATTTCCACAATTGTGATTCAGTATGTGAGGGAATAAGTTTAAAAGAAGAAAGACTCCTACAATTCAGTTTCACACGCTTTAAACTATGGACAATTGTTCAACTGCTGATTTGAAATATGGTAGAGATGGTGGAGGAAAGATGCTCTTTTCATGGGAGAGAAAGATGATAGATAGATGGATCGATAGACAGACAGACAGGAGATAGACAGGTATAGATAGATGATAAAAGATAGATAGATGATGGATATGATAGATAGATGATAGATAGATAGATAGATAGATAGATAGAGATAGATGATAGGTTTCAAAGACACATGACAGTGACCTATTATCTCTGAAGAGACTTCACACACTAATGAAAACAAACTGTGAATATATCTATGACCTAATCCTTACATTAGTAAAGAACCAGCTTGATCCAATTGCTTATCAATGAATTAGCTACACTAGGTAATGAACAAAACTCAAATTGATGAGGCTTTAGAGACAGTTCATATCAAAGATCTAACAATCAATAGTCAATAAGTGGGGAAGGGGAGTTATTACTGGAATAAACCATGTGCCTAAAATGTATTCATTTATGGAATCCTGTCAACAACTATGGGTCCTTCTCTCAAGACCTTCACCTTGTTTACAATGTACATATTGGAAAAAT